TGCGATGATTTTGCAGTTTCTAATTTTTTAGAAATCCATCACTGTGCCTCTGCATAGCTTTATCGCGCAATGCCATAATAAGAGAGAATGTTGTGACGATCGTATGACACCCGTAACCGTGCAGTGTAGCTGGATGGGTCATTATGGCATCACTGTACCATTACCGGCCAAAATTCGTGTGTATAAAAAGCGTTGAGAAGTATTCGAGGAAGATAGCATGGAAGCTGACAGTCTAAGTAGTTATCATATACCCGTCTTATACAAATACGGCCAATAGGGAAAGCGTAACAGCTTGTCAATGCCATAGTGCCGGTGTAGTGACTTTGGGACATTGAGAGCATTCTGGGCAACGTTGTATAACAGATTTAGTTAGAAGTAATGGCGTTTATAGCGACGAAAAGGAGTGTTACTCTACAAGCCAAGCAGCTTTTCTTTCAGTTAGGCTAAAGAGGTGAATCTGGATTAGGATCAAGCAAACGGACTATAAACATAATACTCCACGATCGGACGATGGAATTCCTGCGGCGAATGTAATGATTCTTTATATTCGCTCGTGCTTAGGTCAGTAATTGAAAACATCGATTCGACATCCGAGATTTCTGTTCAATAGCTGTCGTGGGTGGTGGCGGGCGCAGCAGCAGTAGCGATGGCTAACCCTTCAAATATTACAGTCACTACCTTACCTACCTCACCCATGCATTGGTGAAGTTTCATATCTGGCAAAGTAGACAATGCCACTAAGTCCATTCGAACAATGTAATACTCCTTTGTCAGTCCTGACGAATAAACGAACGTATAATCACAAGGACACAGCCATAAAGGTTTCGTTACTTTAACAGATATGAGACGCTTGGTAGGTTTTTCCATTATGGCGGTCACATTAGAGGCCGCAATTGCCACGGCGCTGAGATAGTAATCATTGTATTAATGAGTAGCAGGTACAGGGCTTAATTGCAGAATGGGAAGAACGAGCTCCATATCTAAGTTGCTAGGTGCTTATCACAATGCTTTCATTTCATTTGCATAATGCCGCTAGCTGTAGTTATCTATAGAGTTGTCCTTGGACCTTTATAGCGATAATGAACCCTTTTCGCAAGCGAGCACAACTTAGGTAAGCTATGTTTTTACGTGCTGTTAGCTCAATATGATAAAAAGGTATTCGCTCCAACCAGTGAAACAGAAGTGACTAACGTGAACACAAGGAATCGAAGGAAGAACCGCGACAGCCTTCGCTGCTGCAATATTTCGTAGAGTACCACATCGATCAGCGTTAGATTGAGTGAAAATACCCGATGATAATAAACATGACCTATGCGTAGGCCACTTTCGCGTACCAATATACGATGAACCATTCGCAAGCGTATGAACCCATATGATTTTTGCCGCCATTCCAACAACGTGAGCGTTTCGTATAATCAGATAGTCTTCTTCGCTGCAATTAGAACATACGTATCTATGGTTTACCTTAAACAACACGTCACATGGTACGCTGTTCCTAGTACATTCGTGTTCATCCTACTCGGAACAACAGGTTAAACATTGTAGGCGAGAACAAAGGTCCAATATGCCCAGAACGGAATGAACGGCCTAACGAATTTCAATTCAGTATATGGACAACGATGCTGCGTCAAGTAGATCAGTCAAATGAGATCGGATTGATGCTTTTCGCCGTAATTCAGTTATATGGCAGCATGCGAGGCACCGAGCGGCAGGATCCTTCCTCTCCTTTAGAGATGGCTCGTTGAGGCTGGCAATCCGACCAGGCACAAAACTAAGTTTGTTAAGCTTGGAATTAGTCGGCGTTGACTTCGTACCAGTCCACTGACGGCCGCCTCTTCAACAGTATGAAACCTGAAATTGCCGACACAACAACTAATGTTCAATGAACTACAATACGTTGTTATGTAAGTTGCTTTTGATATACGTTAACGCTTTCATTTTTCCAGTCGTTTAATGTACACAGATACGCCTCAGACCCGTATGTTGTACCGAACAACGAACGTGCTAATTCCCAATAGAGTCTTGCGCGTTTTCAGTATTTGTTATTCTAAGTCGTTGTACGTACAGGCCAGTGGTGTGGCCGCCATCATCACCCAAAGCTAATCAAAATCGTGACTGGGCATTGTTACCGATGAAAAAAACACATTGCAGTGTTCGGTTCAGGGTCTAGAGACGCTTGCCTAATCCGTAGTGGGCTACAACAATCACTTACGGCCGTTGTTTGCTCTTCTGTATTGTATGGGTGTGAACATATCTCTGTTTGTCGAAAATGTACGCCGCTATCAAGACAGTCAGACAGAAGGACCAGTGAGAAATTGTTCTTTACAGCTTATGAACAGAAATTCTTGTACCTATTGTGCCAGGCCTAGGCACATAAACAAACACACAAAATACGTATATGAAGCAAAGCGAATACCACAACACTTCTAAAGATGTAAGCTGGAAAAACCGTACACATATGCACGTTTATGAAAGAAATACTTTTTTTTTTTCATTCATAGGATCTGTCTAGCCTGTATGTATGCGCCGTTTGTTGAACATAAGTAGATATTTTTGTTCCTATAAGGGCGCACACTGATGTGATTACTCAATTCTTGTACGCTTTTTTCCTGTGCACGTACTGAGAATTTAGACGCACACATCGCTCTTGATGCTCACTTATGTTTTAGTTATAGTTAGGTATTATTCCATTCTGTTCTGTGGTGTAATATCTTTCTGACGACTTCCGGCCCCTACAGACACGGACGGTAGTCACCTTTGCCATGTGGCCTGTATCTAGCCAATATAGTAAAAATTTCGGCAAACGAAAGACAAGAACAACAACGAAAAGGACGGGAAAAATAGACAACAGCCGTTGCGCCAGCCGACCGTTACGGTCTTCGTCGTGTCTGACGTTTTTACTCGCCCGCTTTGTTTGTCGGCGTCACTAAGTAGAATTAGCCGAGCCATTAGAGATCTAGTAGGAACATTGGCTGGAAGTTGGCTGCTGTTGACCATCACGAAACGTATTATTATAATCCCTAAAAAAATCGTGAAAAAACATCGCCCTTCAATTTTATCAAACAAATTCTTATTCGGGCGTGGATCTTATGGACGTGGTACGTGTACACAGCACGGATATCGGACGAGATGCAAGCATTGTTTAGTCAGTAGCAGTGTTGATCTTAGCCTTTGTATGCCTCGTATACAAATGCTGATAGGCTGATGGTGGCGTCTGTGAAGACGGCAAGCAAGTATTCACACAGTTTCTTTTGGTTAAAGGAGGGCAATGTATGATGTCATGGAATTATTGACGATCTATCTGTAGATATAATTGGGCGTCTATTTATAGCAAAGGACACTCGCACGTAAACGTGCGTATTTTTCTGTTGCCTATAGAGTTGCTTCTAATGTTGACGAAGGTACGGTTGCTTTCGCAAAAAGTGCAGCTTTGAAATCAAGTAGAAAACTATCTAGGATGAAATGAACGACTACAGACTTTTTGTTAATTTACTGGCGGATCGCAATTTTCATATGTGACAAACGACCCAGGTCTCTGCGTGAAGATCAAGATTTGCCTGAAAATCGGCTTCTATGGCCGTTATCAGACTACAGTGAACAGCTGTTGGAAGAGAACCTATTTTTGTACTAGACGTAAACAACTAGACGCTCCGAAACAAAGAAATCTATCCAATCGTTACGTATATACTTTTGAGTAAAATGTTTGACTCGTACGCGCCAGATAGACTGAATTCCAGGCCGTTGAGCTATTCAAGTTCCTCTTTCAATAGACGCCCAAACGATACAATTTCGAGTAGTTTTTTTGCGTCGGCTTTCGTCCCGCCGAAAAAAAAACAATGTTAGTTGGCAGTTCCGTCACGATTTGTAGACAGTATTTAAGTATACTTCTTCTGCAGTGATTTGGCCTTTATCAAAAAGATATGACAACTGTTCGTATTTTTTTTTAAGGAAAAACCGTACATGAAAGAACGACTTCTAAGTAAACTAAGCCAGTCTTATGGAAGTGATCGAATTAGCAATGCTTTTTATCGATCAAACTTGAAGACAATAACACCGTTCATGTTTAAAATTGTTTTCGAGGTTAGAGAAGTGAATAAGTCTCTTAGCCACTGCGTTTTCAAAAAGTATCTGTTTTTCCTCTATGACGTAAAAGATAGATTCAGGTCTCTCTCACACACTATATTGCAAACATGTCTACGAAAGATGGCTGTTCAATTCCGAATCCATAGAACAGCATTCTCAGGTAGCCATACTTTCGCGTTGGAGCATTTTTCACCGTGGATCCCCTACTATTTAGCGTATGTCTTTTCCTCCGAAGGCGGCGCAGAGGCTGACAAAAGGTGAATGATTGATTTCGAAAAATAAATACACTCAAAGTCGCGTATATAATGCTTTCGATGTAAAGGCATTGAACAACAGAGTTGACATATCCTTATATTCCTAAAATGAGCTCTCTGTTTCCGGCGTAATAAGTTTTAGGCTTGACTTTTGAAAAGAATACTCGCTTTTTCCTTGCACCAATGGTAGCGGATAAAGGCCTTATCATTACGCTAAACAGAACACCGAAATTGGTGCCTACCTATTCCGCCTTTCCTGTACACATGAACGTAACGCATTCAAAGATAGAACATAGTAATTAATTGATAAATAACAAACGACCAACTCAAAAAAATCTACATTATCTTTCATATGTATTTACCAATTTTGAAAGAACATAATTACAAAAATATCCGAATCACATCGTTTTTGAAGCATCTGTGAAATCGTCCTTACATACTGGCCAACATCGTTTTAGCACCGTTTCACTAATGCGCATACGTTAGCTGACTGATTGGCTTAATTCATTTTCCTTCTGTTTAGCATAATCTTTGTCATGAGTTCAGAATTATCAACAATGTGTATATATATATATATATAACCAGTCAACTCAAAATCATTCAAGGGGAATAACAGTGCCAGCATCGATAGCATAACAGCAACGCCAATCCTATTCCCGTTAGGTGTTCCGTGCTTCAAGGTATCATATGCAATCAAGTCTGGTAGTACGAGGTAATACTACTCGGATAATTCCCATTCAACCGCAGCCGCCGCCAACGCAGAACTGCAACTTGAATACAGCTATCATGTGAGGTAAGATTTTTCAAAACTTGATACCTAAGGCGGTCGTCGATTGCAGAAAATCACCTGTGTATCACTGAATGGGTCAACGTTGCTAAAACTTCTTGCTGCGACGATAATGATGGTGATGGCGAAGGCCATGAGGTGTTTTCAACGAGATGTTTATGCCTCACTCCGCAGACGATGGATCGTATGTACAGTTGTATTCCGCTAACGTAAAATACGTAAAAGACCCGGAATACATAAAGAAAAAATACGTACACGGCCATCTCACCCGGAGAGGAATATATTTTACATGGCTTTGTGTCGGGCCTTGGCCACCAAAGTTACAAACGAAACCAATCCCACTAACGCTGAACTTGAATTGCTCTGTTCACAAAGTCGGCTGACGAGTTAACGGGAAAAAAAAGTTTTCAAACTTGGGATGCTGACACACGCGATGCCTAAACAAACAGTAAATTCATTAAGGTGTCAAGCATTATCGATTTTTCATCACAATATGCTTAATGATCGGATGTCGGTAAACGATCGGGAAATTTAAGAGTAGAGCCATATTCGCTAAACTGAGTAGCTATAAAGCCGGACCGAAATTCAGTTCAGGTAAAATTCATTGAAGCTTCGGGCCACTGTAGCTGTATCTGCCCTTTATTAAAACGCAATATATACAATGCACAGTCTAAGTTAAAGAGTACTCATAAAAGGTGTAACAATTACCGCCGAGACACCCTGGGCACCGACGAATTGCTATTGGCTTTGCTCCTGATAAGTTTCCAACACATCGCTAAAGAGAGACTTCCATTATGTAGCTGCCGATAGCGTTATACCTTTGATCGAAGACGTTTATAGAAAAGCGCTAAACACGGCTATGTTAGGAGTACTGATTTGCGGAGTTGTTATTATCGGACCGTTTATGTACATCATGTGAATTCCCTGTGAAGGTGTGGCAGATATGGCCGAAGCTACGGTCTCGTCGTCATAGAATAAATACGCCAAAACAAATGCGTTCTATTCTGTCCCTATACGTACAGCTCCCCAAGTGGGATTCAATGCCAAGTATGTAACTCTGGTGATTGATTGAAAAGCACTGCTTAGATCTGATGCATCATCTGAGTCATGAATTGCCCTTTTCTTGAGAAATTTTTTAACGGCACACTGCCCTACTCATTTGTCTATGCACAGCGGCTCAGTCGGATCGCTTGCTGTAAATGCATTTTGACTTTGTAAAGTATCGGTACCGTATTTTGGATAAAAAAGCGTTTTTTTTTTTTGTGCGGCAGATCAGTTACGAATGGTAGCTCAAGTTAGCTTCGTTTAGCAAATTGTTTAATACTTGGACGGCGACATTGTAGCTGTATGCAACGTAGCTATAATTGCGCTATCTACACCAATTGAAAACCTTTAGCTGCTTCTCGCCAATTTCGCTTCCAACCCATGAGAACTGGGACGCGTAGTGTTATAATTTAAAGACTATTGAAAAATATGTTAAAAAGTTTTCCGATTTGCCTTGGTTTCTGTGGGGGTGTCTCTGCATCAGTGAAACGTACCATACATATATTATCGATATGGAAGTAAACAAACTCGTCCCTATGTGCCTCGCTCCCTCGTTGCGATACGATCGGTTCAATCTGAAGATAAGCGAAAAGGATTCGATCAGGAACCACGTTGCTCCTCAGCAGTATTCCAACGTCCTGGTTATTTGTCCCGCTCTAAATTCGATAGCTTGTCTGCGCGTTACTCAGTTAAGCTCAGCGTCCATGGACGTCGATTGGATAAAAACAATGCAATCATTTTTAAGTAGCACGAAAGGCCCTCTACCGAATTTTCGATAACTTATCATTTTATCAATGACAAAAACGTTTATTGCAACTTAACAATTATGTGTCTCCTAAAGAGATGGACTAATATTTCAATCAATTCGAATAAATTAGGATTAATATAACATAATAATACGAAGATATATTAGGAACGCCTAGCTACACGGGTAACGGAGCTTCTGTCTGCAAGTTGAGTCTTGTTAGTGAATCATGGATCTAATTATCAAGTTGCTATGGTTCTTTTCACAACACACCTTCTAACCTGCACGAGGGATCGTTGGCATTTGCCCCGTATTGAAGTCACTCAATTATCTGGCCTATAGACGTTAATTAAATTGTCCGAAGGTGGGGCAGATAGGAACGTCAGCCATAGTGAAATGCGTGACTTGAAATTGTCAAATGGAAGTTTTAGTTAATACTGTTCTTATAAGCAATTAGAGTATAATATTTTGACGTGGATAGTTTTTCAAATGATATCACGAAATTATCTGACGGAAAGTTCGCTCCGAGCGAAACGAAATGGCTTAACTTTGCCCGCTATTTTTGCATGTACGTTTATGACGTATTTGATAATTGCTCAAATGGACGTAGGCGAAAAGCTACCTATGGGGCAAAAAGAACTGGCAAATGACGCTTTCCAAAAAAAGCTCTAGACGCATACGCAAGTTAGCCCCTGCAATAGAAGACAATATTCTCACAAGAATTTTTGACACCTATAGGCCGTGCCTGAATATTAATGCAAGGAGTAACTGCCAAACCAGCGTTCATTACTTAACATATCAAAGTTACGTAGAAAATGCCAATTTCGTATCACATACAATACACAGGCAATATAAGAATCTATCCAGCTCAGCGAACACGGATTACGGCATTAGATGTGCTTGTATATCGGCTGATCGGCCATCAACTGTCGATTTAGAGGGTCACAAAGCTCTCCCTGATTAACTGCCCCGATACTGCTGCACGAAGATGCGGCTACGCCAAACTGCGTAGTTCACGACCAGTAACGTCAGTATCTCCCAAGAAAATCCTACAAGTCAAAGCAAAACGTTTTTGACCAGAGTGATTTTTTTCGTTTAGCGTTTTATAACAGTATATCGGTAACGATGCTGATACCGGGTATTGTCCATTGTACGATCAATGATAAAAAAACACCCGACTCCGCTCCGCGTCCAAGAGCTAGTCATAGATGATGCCCTTGTCGTTGTATATGCTGAAGAAACAACACAAGTATAGCTGCACTTTTTCCTTGACGTCATGAGAAATACGCACGGTGCAAAGAGTGATGATAATGTCGCGATCGATAGCGAAGCTTGCGATCGCACTTAGGCCTCATCTATATCTTTAAACAGAATCGCAAATCATAACAGACCTGGTAATAAAGATCCGATGCGATCGCGATTACTGCTGTTGCCTGCGTAATAAAATACTGACCACTGGAACGGATATAAGCATCAGAGTAATCAGTTTAAGTTGACAGTACGAAGATGTAACGTGGCTCATTTCTACCTAAAAAGAAAAGCCTTCTGTCACTGTTACGTTAGCTCCCTACAGATATTCGCATGACTATCCTTTCTTCCGCGATAAATGAGTCTTTTTCCTCTGCATTTCAGCGTACCGATCCTGCTTGCTTGTATTACTCCGAACAACAATATATCTGAACTGTGTGTAGATTTGTACACTTTTACCCATAGGTGGGGTGTATATGTACCCATACCTACCCTATGGGTAGGTATGGGTACATATACGCTTCATTCCGCCAGCAACTGCAATTGCTCGTTAGTTCATAGCTAGAACTCACCGCTCACTTATCACTCACTCAGAAGATGAGTTGACATTACGGGACATCGTCTGCGGCATTATAGATGATGGCAACTGCAGTAACAATAACAGAAGGGCATAGCAAAGTGTGAACGAGGCGTCAATGAACAAATGGCAGCATTTAAGTGTGAATATACTTGCGGAAAGACGCCGACTGCTCCGCGTATCGTCTCGATCGTCGTAACGTACTATAGGGACGGTAATCCTTGTCGCCGTTCTCTGCATCCATCCAACCTATTATACTGACACATGATTGACCACCATCCTTATAGCACGTACGCATACTATTTAATATTGAGCTAAGGTAAATATTGAACACACAAATCGCCGTATCCAATAGAGTCCTATAGGAAATATTTGGTACAGTAGCTCTAACACCATGCACGTCTCAAAATTAACTTGTTTGTAAGCTGCAATGATTGTTTGTCCAGATGTTTCCATTGACGTCTTCTGTTTGCCTGTAAGCCGCTTTTAACGAAGCTATTGAATTTCAGATCGTTACCACCGTCCATTCCGCTACCCAGAACCGCTGGCGACCCAACGCACTGCTACTGCTACTCGGATGATAGAAAGATCTAGATGAATGAGTAAGAGTGGGTTCTTTTTTCGTTTCCATCATTACTATATTGATTTTTTTACCTATTGTGGTTGACTTTTATAGGCGTACGTATATACAGTCTTATTTGTTCCCCTGTTTTCGGTTACCTGCAACAGGCACGACACCTACATAACGGAAACTAAATAACTTAAAGGACTAAAATGGCTTCGACAACACGACAGGATCAATCAAAGTGAGACACATACTGCGAGTTTGGCAGGAATTATGTAACAAACGTACAGGGTAGGACGGTAGATTTGATCCAACGGGGGATGAAAAGGTTATCTCTGTAACAAGGTAATGGTAGTACAGATTAATTGCTAGTCCATAAGTTGTCGTTGATGCATGGGTATATTGAAGGAATTGGTGTAAAAACAAGAAACATGAACTAATAGAGAAAGAAAACGTACTTTATAAGTTGAAGTAAATGGTATACAAACAATGCAGCTTTTCATAAAACAACGTTCGACTATATACAAATGGTGAACGTATTCGTCGAGTAGATTATTTCGCTTTTATATTGATTTTTTTCTTATTTGTAGTAGCTGGTGAATCAAGCATGTATATAGTCTTCGACAATATCTGTCTCCGGCATCTAAGGGTAGTATGGGTGTTTTGGCGGACTGACACAGAATGGCCTATAAGCACTGGCATCTAACGGCTGGGCTGTACAAGTTGCTGTGCTTTTGGGGCTCTTCGATCTTAATCTGTGAACAGAAGATACATACGCCGAATACATGACAATACTTGTAGGTCCAGTGATCCGTACGCGACATACCATATATGCATTATTGTCGTCTTAGGCCAGTCATGGTGACCTTTGAAATGAAAATATATATGTGTTTTTTTGTTCGACCAATGTTGCGATGGTAGATGTTGATATCGGCCTATAGGTGATGGGAGTCATTCATAATTGAGGTTAGGCTGTTGCTATACGAGACAGGCTAACATAACTCTATTGCAAAAATCGATGATTTCTGATATCACATAACCGGTACGCCTATAGTTCTTTGGTGACCTTTGAAAATGTATGCATCGACAACTCAGGGACTGATTGACTTTTGCCAACTATCTACTTCTAAGTATCCTATAGCGATGACGCTAGTGGACTCTGTTTCTCTCACGTTTGTTTTTCGCGGATACCGATGCTTTTAAAATGCAGTATGTTGCCGTTTAGCTCTCTGGCCTTTCTCTACAGCATCCCTGCCATTGTTAGTTCTCAGTGCAAACGTTGCAGGTCAATTTCAGCCGGACATAGTTGTTTCGAGCGGGCGTCTAATTTTTTTCCGTTGCGCGACTACATCTCCATACAACACGTTTGTGGGCATGGTACGAAGCTAGTATCAAAAAACATTACTTATCGTGCGGGTTCTAATCCCAAGGTCTATTTAATTTAGTACCCGCCTGGAGTTTATGCGAGCCATCGCTAAAATGAAATTCAAAGGTGCAACAACATCTTCCTTAAACTTATTTCTACGTGATGCGAGCTCTTGAAAGAAACTCTTTCTATCTAAAAAATGTTTCGGCTTTTCGTGGCCTTCCTACAGCGTTCGAGAAACGTGCCTTTCCGATAATGAAAAAAGCATTTATGAAGTCTATTCTTGGTAAACGCATTTGTGTCCTTTTGTCTCTTATGTTAAAGTGCTTTTCCTTTAGGCCGAACTATACGAATCTAAACGATTATAATCCTATACAGGAAGGTCTGCCGTACAAGCCTGGCGAAAGGTCATTTTAGCAAGAAAGTTTAACAGCACGTTCCTGATCATTAAAGCCCCATGGAACCAAATGCTTCATCGGCTACGCTCCTAGATCTCGCTATGGACCAAGTTTGTATGTGAGACTCCTTATACGGTTTAACTCGGTTCGAGCAACTACAAAAAAACTCATCAAAACCATTTGTTCTACCCAGCGTAGTTTTTAGCATGCCAAGGGTTTTATATTTTCAACTTTCCTGGTCACAGCATACATTCATCACCTTACTGTGTTTTCCAAACTCATAATACGGCTAGATTTTTGTAGAACACGAAAGCCTGTAGTCCTCGATTATTCACTTCTGATCACCGCCCCAAGCGTGATTCGTCGTTTACTAGAGCTTTAAAGCGCTGGAATCAACTTCCGGAGACGCTGTCAGATACTGCTCCGCATTTGCTTGCAGTGCCGTACGCTGTCTAACCGTTGTCTGTTTCAGATGATTAAGTACAATATTTAAGAAGCGAGTGACAAGTTAAAAATTTTTCCATCGCACGACGTGATCGTACAAAGATATGCTACAAATGAACTCTGTGGAAACGCAAGCTATGCAACAGACAAAAATGACCTAACGGAGGAACGTGCATAACTTCTAATAAAGCGACTGCTTCAAATGTACATACAACGATGTTTTAGAATTGTCGGCTACGCTCCTAGATCTCGCTATGGACCAAGTTTGTATGTGAGACTCCTTATACGGTTTAACTCGGTTCGAGCAACTACAAAAAAACTCATCAAAACCATTTGTTCTACCTTTGAACATCGTTTTGGTTTTATTAATTACTTTTAATGTTTTTCCTAACGTGGAATAATACTCTAATGACCTGATGAGTACGCATAATTGAGACTAAAAAAACATTGAAAAAAACATTTGAATGTATGCTATCCACTGCTTACTTTCAAGTATTGAATCTCAAAAAATACCATTGTTCGATATACAGGCACAACCTCAGGTCAGTGGGAGGTAGGCTACTTGCATATATCACCAGGCAAACCTGTTCTTCAGAGCTTAGGCAAACCTCATTTAATTACAGTGCCCTTAACTATGTCACTACAACTGTGCTGACCATGTGCGCAGGTGTCTAATTGACCGCTAAAAGGAGTAGGTCCAGAGGGCCTAAGCGTGAAAGAAGCCCTCGGTCACATTACCCGAAGTGTACAATTCAAGCTAAAGTTTAATGTACGTTCTAGTTACATAGTACTATTATTAGGCATCGCCCAGAGAATGACGACATTGTAATAACTACTCTGCACTCGAGCGGATTCAAGCGGAGCAAGTTTGCCTCTATATAATTAGACAATTGTCGTTTCTTGGATCTCTCTTTTTGCTCTTAAACTCATGCCCTCCTCATTGAAATCTACAACGCAGAGAGAGAAGGAGCAAAGAACTTGTTTGAAGGTCGGAATGTAAACAACGTAATGCAGAGATAAGTGGCCAATAAAGTTCAACATATAATAGAATATATAAAAATATTGATTTGAAAAAACAACTGTAAAATATATAAAGAACAATGTGTCTGAAGGAACACAAACAAGAATAATAAAAAACAAAGAGGAAGTGCGGTTTTCTTTTACGTATAATGAGTATTGTTATTCCGATTTAGGAAATTTAGTAGCCACGTTTTTGTCCCTTTACCTAGATTAAAACCTTTTACATACGCCTACATCCGTTTACCGTTTGTAGCGTGGCATTTTTCTGTAAAACAACATTAGGTACGGCACAGTCAACAGCCTGATACTAACAAGGTTAACTTTTATTAAGCTCTTCAGATATCAATGTGACATGGACAATCAGTCGAACGCTGCGCAAGCTTGATCAGATAGACGAGCCATAATTGGAGACCATATTGTACATCCTACATCTATTAGTTTTTATGAAAGCAATTATTCCATAATATAAAATAAAAGGGAACCTTCGCTACATCAGACCCGTTATGTCTATCAGCTTATGTAACGATTAAAACCAAATAATTTTTTAATAGTGACAGGATCACCACGGAAAACAGGAACCAGCATAAGTTCTGTATTAGCCCATTCCCATCCGTGCGATTATTTTTCACGTATATATTTCGTATGTTTCGGAGGCACACAGCTAGTGGACATATCATACTTTATCTCTTCCAAAAACATTTATATTTGATTAATTTATATTATTAGATAATTAAATATATAAATATTTATATTATTAAATAGTTTATATAATAGATACAATAACAAGGAAAACACACATAAATGTACAGCGAATTTAACGCATTTTTCACGTCTCAGCAGTATGCCCCAATTGCCTGATCGTACCGATACGAGCATCGGGTGCATGCTACTTACATTGTGTACACTACGAAGCTTGCCGCCCCTTTGGCCTACGCTGCCCCCATCACCTAAGTCGCTGCTCGTTCGGCCTATGTTGCACCTGCCTTGCACGTGACTCACCGCTTGTATGCGACACCCAAGGTTAGAAGCGTATCATTTTCTGCCCTTGATTATGTACACTATCGTTCAATAGCTAACAGATCGTATCCGATTAGAGCTGACAGATTTGACAATAGAAGTAATGTAAAACACACACATTTTTTTGGGACAGGTCTTGCTTTCAGGTTCCCCGTAAGTGTCTTACTGCTGCGTTCATTCTTGTACGCTTCCTTCTTGTAAGACCTTCGTCGTCGTCATTGTTGAAAGTACATCTGAGCCCTGAAAGTGGGGGGTGAAAGGAAAACGATGATAATGCAATGATTAGGAAATACCAATAGTTTTTACAGAAAGCACCGTGTATTAACTGTATGTTTTTCGAATAGTTCTACAATGTTCTCATCGATGATCGACTTATTACAGGGGAAGGCTTTCATTGTTCAACCCCAGTTAGAAAACGACGTACACACACCGTTGAAATTTTTTCCAGTGTTGTCTTCTACGACCAGCAAATATTTATGAAAGAGTGCGACCTACGATGCTGTTAAATTTACCCTATAAAGTGAGTACACGAAATTATTATATAAAAGGTGTTATTTCGACCTAAAGTGATCCATGTAAAATCTTGAAACGAACTTCGCAGGTTCAAGTCTTTCTCAACTATGTCTATGTACTAGGTGGTGCGTATCGCGCTTTCTAAATACGGCTAACTGTCTATTGTGCCCCAATCGATGCAAAATGCGCAGTAACATAGTCAAACGTAAGCGCTCATAGCGTCGATTTGTCACAGTATTTACGTCTATAATATATGTGTTGACTATGAACATGATTTTGACATCTGTTAATTGGTATTGCCTGATTTCGGCTATTTGCCTCGCCTTTGCATACGTGCACCCAGCCTTGTGGTAGAATCGACCACAGAGATGGCTAGATGATGATAAGTGCTTTCACCTCCAATTTTACGTAAAATGAAAATAAATAGTGTTAAAAAAACAGAATTATATAGATACTATTCTTGACGTTTTCCTTCCAATATTCAACGAACTAGTCAATTGTGGATGTTTTTTTAAACGGCAAAGGGTGGAAATGTATACCAAAAATATGGCGCATTCTGTACTGTGTTATTGTGTTTTTCGAGCAACTCAATAATCGCTCTATTCTGTTTTGTTAATTTAAGGACAATCTCTTCCGCATTCATTCTCAGCTAGGTATTCAAAAATTATAGAACTCTTCATGAGATTTAGTAATAAGTTTTCCGTTATTAACATATCGTGTTAAAGTCGCTTTACTTTATGAACAAGCCAGTTCCGAGTATCAACCTTTACTTCAAGCACAGCATATATTTCGAGATCCGAAAATTACATTCAGGGATTCTTATTTTTTCTTTGCTGTATGGCCACTTATGTAACACGACGCTTGTATCACCAACGTTTAACTAATTGATTCTTTTTTGTTCAGCCTTATTTCAATAGGCTCTGATAACACAAACTCTTACTTGTTTTAAATAGTGTACTTTGTTATACTTGCGATATCCAGACAAATGGACACCTAAAGGCACAAAAAACAGTTGAAGTGGGAAGGTTATAACTATTCAACTGTCATTTATAATATGAGCAGGTGAAAATCTTCAGAATTGTATGCATGGATTCCTTTCCTATCGCACATATGTCTTCACACGCACATATATTGAAGACAAATAGAATTCCGTTTTAAATCATTATGCGTTTTTTTCAATTTCTGTAAAATTGTTCGTCTGCCTGTATTTACACATCCCATACAATAAGCGTTTTGTCTGCAACCAGCGTAGCGTATTCTGTTCCGTCAGTATATTAGAGGCAATGTTTGATAGCTGGAGCTACACACCAGTCGGGATGCGATCTATTTCAATTTATATATATTCTCAACTATGTCATAGTGTTGTAGGATGCTGTATATTTCCTAAAGTATTTCGTATGCGTCCCTTTTGATTCTACCTTTTGACGGTAAATTAGGCTGAGCGCAACCGCAGGTAATGGTATCTAAGTGTCAGTGACGGCGATTGCGTTAGGTTTATCCTGTACATCGGGTATTACTTATTCCATACTTTATTATTACTCAACACATCTGTTACGTAACAAACAAACTGCGAAGAAATTACGGGATTTACCTAGAATAGGTTTTATACGTAGATAATAGTGCGCCGATATCTTGGTTACAGGTTTATTGGATGTCACGCTCACTGAGGATATTTCACTCTGCTGTATGCTTAACAGGATTTTACCGTGTCTTTCTTTATCAGTTTGTTGGGTACTCAATATCCTAAGAGGGCAATGTTAGCGCAGGTCGTTATCTATAACGAACTGATACCTATTAGCCGATCGATACTGGAACAGGCACTGTCCCCTCACCACATAGGGTTATGGGATCGAAACCATTATATTTGCAGAAGAAGATGTCTAGAGAATGAAGGCATGCAGTGGATGCTGTTGTAGGCCAACATAGGCAGTGTCCATTGGTGTTTCTGCTAGGAGCAGCCAGACATACATCGCAATAAAACGTTTCACATTTCTATAAAAATATCTGATTATTTCAGTGTTATTGTCATAACTTTCACGGCAACTAAATGATTGTGTGTTAGAGTTAACTAACGGCGGATTGTTTAGCTAAGAGACATTTCTGATATGCGGGATCTGAAAAATTGATGGCTCAAGTCTGTCATCGCGCAAAACATGCACAACATGTATTATTTGTCATAACATACTTGTTTTTACATCAGGGTTCTAATGCCAAGATGTACTAATAAGTAATTAAAAAATGAATAACACAAGGTGCCTGTATAAAATACAAACACTTTTAATAAAAGACAACGATGTACGGTAAGTGCTATAAGGCTTCCATTTTTCGCATTCATCTTCAGCCTCAATAGTTCCAATTGTAAATAACTGCACCACAAGGAGCGCCTTATTTTTAGGCCGAACTAGGATATTGTTTTTACAAGTCCGATTTTTACTAAACATTTGAAATAAATTAACATTGTGTTGGGAAATGAGAGAATGCAAGTGAACGCATCACATTGTGAGAAATATATACGTATGTCATCATTTTTATGTGATTCGGCGGTTGTTTCATCTCTATTTTTTGTCAGAAAATTCACTTTTAATAGCAGTTTTAACAGTTACTCGCTCAGAAGTTAGTTTACCTTTAGATGAAAAACGCAGTGTATTCCGGTCAATATAAACAAGTGACCATTAGTGTATATCCATGTACTTCGGTTCGAGCGAAAAATATCATATGAAATAGGTATACAACTATTGCCACAAGACTAGATATGCCATTGCTACATACAAACGTATTATTACAAATTATTAATTATATAAATTATCTGATTTTTGTTACTCCATTCCAAAAAATGGATAAAATAAATAAATAAATCTGCATCTCTGACGCGAATCTCGAATATCAATGCGAAATCAAGGTTATTAGAGCACCATTGGAAAAGCGGTCTTTTGAGCTTTCCAAACCCTATCACTCGATCTACTTGTTTTGGTAAACAGTTTCAGGTTCTACAGCATATTACAAACAAGTAGCTTTGATATTTAGTTAATTACACATGAGTCATGTTCAAAAACTACCTGCACGCCGTATTTATTCCTTTATAGTGTAGGTTTTATTTGCAACTATGTGCTCTGTTTGAACTTACGGCTCAAAACCAAAAAAAAGGCCCGTCAGATAACCAAGACCACTTTTGAAACTCCAATCCTAATTAGCAGAACAAGAATTCTTAAAGATTCTAATTAAAAACGGAGGCTTTACGGTACCTGTCGAATATCGAATATCGACCGCAAAGTGCAGCGTCCTTTAAAAAATATGTACACGATCTTGTCCCTCTCTGAAGTGTAAGATAACTTTTTATTTGCTATCTGTGGTTAACAAGGCGACAAATCCTTAGAATCACCTCTTCAACCTTCAAAGGGGTGGGAGCCTGTAGAGTGAAAGATGAGATTTGAACTGACACAGGTACAAAAAGACACGATAATAGAACAGTGTGTATTGATCGTATTAGAAATGCTCTTTGATACAACAGCTGATCTTCACTAAGATTAGCAGATTGTTCGTCAAGTGAATTGTCCCTGCGGTTTCAAGTGTATTCGAATTGTCCTGAACAGATGCTAATGTATCACTCTCAAACCCACGACCTACGCCATAGAACAATTCCGGATAAACGAATTTCTCGATAGGATCTAGCTTTTGGTTAATACATTGTACCTTTGCACTAGTAACTTCTTAAACATAATTTAAAATTATTTTGACAATTTCGAAGGTTTTTACTAAATTGTTAGAAAATTTTAGTGCAACAGCTTCAATCTTATACGCATTTGCCTCGAATTTTTCGAAGTCGGTAAGTTTACTCTCTATTAGTTCAAGCCGTCTGCTGAATGATCCGATATATTGAGTCACAAGCCTCTGTGGTGATTTGCGTTAAGTTAAATCTTTCTTTTTTGATTTTCTACAAGCTGTTCTTTTAATCTACTATTACTGAAATAAAAGACAACGCCTTGTCTGACCTTCCAAGTCTCTGCCTTGTCAGGCTTTGTTACCGTACCTATTGGCTCTGATAACGTTGCATCTCAACTCGTGGTATAAAAACGCAAATTTTTAAGAGTACTTTCGAAAGTGGCATGACAGAGTAGGCGCAAAATATTCAACAAAGGTTTATCAACGCAGAACTGATTTATCTGTCATTGTATTATTATTCTTACATGAGTATCGAGTTTCGCATCCCGATCTTTAATGAAGTGCGAACGCCCGCATCCAGGGATACACGAAGTAGGCGTATTTGTTATTTGTTACAGGTCGGGAAAAAAACAGACGATGAA